GTTCACGGTTAATTTTTATTTTCCGTGGAGCATGTTTCTAAGCTTATAACTTTCTCACTATATGAGGCAGAATGGTCAATCAAGCGCCATTTTGTAGAGCGTGTTCTGTTGCATCTTTTCACACTAGAGACACATTTTTAATCATGTATCTTACTAAAGGAAAACTAACCATTCAAATCGAGTCAGGACTTCTGGGCCATCTTTTATGTATATAAAAAATAACAGCAAAAACGTAAAGTCCCAGTAAAAACCGATCATCACGCTTTGTCCGTGACCTTGTATACGTTGGATTAACATTTGTTCCGTAGCAAAGTCGCATCCTAACATTATTATGAAACCATTGATGTCTGTTAGCTGAAAATAAGGGTCCAGGGAATACATGCTGGATTTTGCTTTCCCATTGGTGAATACCAAACAAAAGGGAAAGAGTGAAAACGATGTCGCAGGAGTATGTTTCTCGTTGAGTGATCTAAGAAAAAAGTGACAAAAATTAATTGAATTTATACAGTTTCATTCAGATTTCCATGCATATCATGAAAATAAACTTTATTTTGAATAACAAGGCTTTAGTAATTACAAAAAACCAAGTTTTCTTTATTTGTAATAATTCTACTTAAAATGCCTGGATATACTGAGAATTTTAAGCTCTATGCGAATCTCAACGCCGTTGAGAATACGGGAATATATTCTCGTGGAGATATGTGCATTTTAATGAAATTTTGACAAAAGTTAAAATCTATTTTTTAGCTTAACGATAAAATGTTAGAGTTTCGTTCTAAGTTCATTCGATAAAACACATGAAACTCCATTTGTCCACAAAAATCTGACCTCTCGAACAATCTCCTTGATCATTTTTTGTTATTTTAACGAATTTTGACAAAAACTCATCTTTTCCAGTTATTTCCAAATGAAAAAAATACTTCGGACCATTTTCTCTGAACTGAAAATTTGCAGTTAAATAAAATTTATAAGTGCAGAATGTTTTGTCATTTCGAAGCAATTATTTTATAGAAAAAAGATGACGAAATCGATCAAGTGAGTGTGACTTAGAATCGTTTCCAAGTACTGCTATTATGCCCATTTATAAAATAAGTTTCAGAATATGTTATGAGGTTTCCGTTACTCGTTGAAAACTAAAGTAGTTGGGTTTATTTTTCCAAATATGGTACTTGATAGAAAACCTATGAAATGTCGGAATTTTGGCTATTTTAGCAAGATTTTGCTACATATTATTCTCTGAAGAAAGTCTGGTCGACTTTAACTTATTAGATACCTTTTTAGAAAATTTCTCAGTCTTGAGATACATTAGACCCATGCATCATGTTTTGCTCGGACTTTTATTCGAGAATATGATGCATTTGTCGCAGTAGATTACAATGCTCGCGTGTCTAGTATGAATGATAAAATTCCCCAAATATTCATAACCATATTTCTCAAATTCAGGCAGATTTTAAATTTGCCTAGGCAGATGTGACTAGGCATATGTAAAATCGAGATGTTTGCATATGTTGATCTGAAATCTGCCTGGGCCAATATTTAATTTTAAAACTGCCTAGGCAGATTTCAAATTCGGTAATAAAACATCGATTATGTCATATTCTCACATGAATGAAACAATAATTAAATGATGACAATATAAACATTTTCGATTAACTCTAAAATGATGAACTTTTCTTACTTTTTTCAAGCCTCAAGGCTTTCATAACATTTTCTTGAATTGTTTTCTTAATTACACATTTTTCTCTGAATTTTCCTGTAGAGAACCAATATAGTTATCAAGAGAACTATAGAAAGATTTTTGAGAATCATTGACAGTTATCGTTGTTTGTGTATTAGAAGTAGTAGAGACTATTTTAATGGCATAAAAAACACAGACAATTAGATATAGACGCTTAAAGCGCGAGGAAAATGAAATGAAGAAATTAATGCAGCATGTCCTTCCTATGTATAGACGTTGAAGAAACATGAAACTCAACCAATCCTTTTTAAATGCTCTGTATGGTAATAGGAAAACGAGAAAGGGATAGAAAAGATCAATTCAAAAATCAGAGAACAAAGAAATAAGATTTAAAGATATAAGGGATTAAGAAACCAGAGTAAACATGATGCATAGTAAAGCTGCAATAACCTTTCAAGCATTCTATTTATCCTGCCTATCAGAAAATTTTTTGAGAAAAAAAGGATTTATACTGGCAGCAACTAACAACGAAATCGGGCGGTAATTGTTTACCTGACTCCGAGAACTTTTCTTATGTATGGGAATCAAGATAGCAGTTTTCCACTGTTGAGGAAAGATGTTTTTCTCTAAAGAAATACTAAAGATATGAAATAGTTATTTTGAAATTACAGAAGAGCACAATTTAAAATATCGAATCGGAAGATTGTCAGTTCCGACACTCGGAGTGTTATTGAGACCACTTATAGTCTCTCTAACGGCATCTTCTGTGATTTTCAATCTTTCTGATTTGGGTCCTTTATAGGTAGCAGTGGGCTGTAAAAGAGGGCCGTGATAATTTGTGTAATAAGAGAGAAAGAAGGAATTGAACATCTCACTCGTTTCCTTGGCTGATGTCGGCGTATTGCACGAATATCGTTTGCGGTAATAGAAATTAAGAGAGATTCAGTTTGAGCGTCCGATGCGATTAATGAATCGAGCAAAGAGTCTTTTATATAAACTGCAACTGGTCCCACAAAAGAAGGTCTATCTAACCGATAGAAATTGTAGTCGCTAATACTCAATATTTTTTCAATAGTTTCTGTGCTGTTGAATAAAGAAGTTATTCTGATCGAGTGTTTGTCGAATCGTTTTCATCGCACTGTTGAGACTATCAATTGTCGAAGGCAGATTGACATTATTTTGAAGAACAATTTTTGAAGGACTTGAAGGTTTTTTTGTTGAACTTGGGGATTTTTTTATCAAGTCCGTTTGAAGTCCAAGGATTTAAAATCTCTTACATTCAACAACGAATTGAGTATAATCTGATATCTAATTTATTAATCTTTTCTTTGTCAAACATGCATCAATGTATGGATAAAATTTATTTACCCGTCATATATGATTATGACGTACTGTATAGTGCAGAAATATGAAGAACTTCGGCTCGAACTTGCACTTGACTTGGACTGGCCAAAAAAAAATTTCTGTTGGACTTAGACTTGGAAACAGTCGAACTTGCACACCTCTGGAGTGGCTGACTAAAAGAAAAAGGGGGATCTAGGTGAAAGAAGAATTTTTTGTAATGAAAAAGAATAAGCTGCTCTGAGGTTCAAGATCTTGGTACAAGAAGTCAAGAAATTACAAGATATCCAAAATCTTGACTTCTTGAAATCTATTGAATTCTTACATTTTTTGACCAAGATCTTACTGAAAAAAATCAAGAAGTCAAGTTCTTGGTTACAAGAAGTTTCACTAGGATTCAGTGTATTAAAAACATGTGTTGACAGAAGTAGAAAAGAAGAAAAAAAGATATAGACTGTTTGTCTGTTATTTATTTATTTATTCTCGGTGGCAAAGAGAAAGGGTATAGACAAAAGCTGGAGGCTTATAGTCGTCTATCCCATGGCATACAAATACACACAAAAATAAAAATAAGAATTACAAATTACAAATGACTAGTTCTTAGAGGAACTGTTGTATTTTTAACACAAATAGATTGAAAGAAGAGAGTGTTTGTTTGCTCCTTTCTCTACGGCCAAACATCTTATCATTAGTGTCCAATCCTATCCTTGCTTTTAAAAAAAATTTAAAAATTTTTCAGTTAGTCCATGTCCATCTGTGTCCATGGACAAATTTAAAAAAACTGTCTATGTCTATGGACATGTCCATCTAATGCAGAGCTCTAGCTAATTATTAGTCTATACCACGGTTGCCGACTCGAAATTTTTGAAATCGGTAGTTTATTTTAAGAATCAAAAGCTTATCAGTTGGTTTTTTTGACTGAGATTAGTGATAAAACCGGTAGACATTCACAGCCATTCCAATCATTTAGAAAATGGATACGCTGTCAGCAACGGTTTCAAGAAATACTTCAATCTACTTCTCTTCCTACAGCAGGCAATCATTCCCAATTAGGGAGTGATGTGTTTTTTCGCTCCTGACATATACAAAAGTAAAATACTTCAATATTACATATCAGATTTGAGATTGAAACGTCAGAATTTCGTGACCAGTTTAACTGTGGTCAGTTACAACTATCTTCAAAACTATTTAGAAATAGGTGATTACTGCTTCTACCAAATCACGTATAATAAGCGTGCCGACACTCAATTTTACGAAAGCAGTATTCTAACACCTATTTGATAGTGTTCAACGATTGTTGTAACACTGGATACATTTTTTGTTTGTTGGATCATTTTCTGGCACATCAGTAATGATCAAGGTTTTCTCAATCGATATCAAGCAATTGTTTTCCTCATCCTATTCGGACATGATCTGAATGATGAAAATTTGACCTTGAATTAACTATCAAACTCGTTGTAAATGTTTATATTGCCTCATCGTCTACGTGTTTATTATACACTAAAACTCAAGGATAAAATTTTCAAGTGAGACAGATGACAATAATCTATTTTTCATTCTCCCTCACGCTAATTTTTACATCTCTATATATATTCTGCGTCGAGCTCTTTACCTATTTTTTGCCTTTCTGCATATAATGGCTGATAGTAGCTAAGGCAATGTGTTTTATCATCAGTGGTAAACAATGACTATATTCGAAAAGCTTCATATTGGTGGTATAACCCCAATACAGATTAAAATCGCGAGTAATAAACTTCTACGTTTTATTAAACTGTTTTTGGGACTACAGTAAGTGGTTTATTTTTTTATATGTAACTCGATTAATACACAAACTCGTAAACTATACACATTTTTATGAAACCATTCAAATATCTCAAAACTGAAATCATCGTTAACTAAAGCACAAAAGTTTCTAATTAGATATTTACTTATGCTTTCTGAACTATAGGTAATTGATATTGAATCTCAATCTGTTCTAGCAATGGATCAGCAAAGTGGATCCGCGTCACCAAATCAACAGCATAAAGATAGTGGTCGTATCTCAAACAATGCTAGTGGTGCTGGTTTCG